CATTGATATCTCTTTTTGTAAACAATCTCATTGTCTTGTGGAATCACTGTTTCACAATTACTGTATTTATTTGTTTTGTTTAATCTCTTTCAAACTCATTGGGAACAATTGAGCTTATTTACCATTTATTACATATTAGTGATAAAGTCGTAAGTGTTATCATTTGAATCTCATTATACTTTCTTGTTGTTTATGTTAGTGAAAATTAATTTATTTTTTTTCTTAATGCATTAAAGATGGATGAACCAAGTGCTGAAAATGCAAATGTGCTTGAAAACCCGAGTGAATCATCTATGGCATATAGCTCTACTAGAAAGAGGGTTAGGTCCAAAGCATGGAAGCCTTTTAAGAAAATAAAATTGGATTCTGGGGAGCAAAGAGCTATTTGTAAACATTGTAGAAAATAATGTATAGGTGGAAGTTCTAAAGGAACGAGCCACCTTTTAGGGCATGTACCAAAATGTCATAAATTAAAACAAAAGGGCACAAGTGAACAAGTTGTAGAAAACTTCAAATTTGACCAAGATAAGAGCTGAATAGACTTAGCAAAGATGTTAATAAAGCATGGGCATCCTTTTAGTATAGTTGAAGAAGAGTTTTTTCAAATATTTTTCAATAATCTTCAACCATCATTTAGGCTTGTTTCTCGAAATACAATAAAGAATTATGTCATGAAGATTTACTTGGATGAAAAGGAGTTGTACAAATACTTTGATGGTTTGGATTGTAGGATTAGCTTAACCACCGATATGTGGACTTCGGAACAAAATTTGGGGTGTGAGCTCCGAAAAGCTCATGGTCAGCTCAAAGAGATGGAGTCGCCACTCATTTTTTTAAAGGAAATGGGCCCTCATTTTCAAATTTGAAAAATTCGAATTAAGTCTTTGATAGTGATTCCGTCCTCCATGGGAAAGGCACTGAACCGAAAGATATTAGGTTCCAAAGATTAGGAGAGGGAAGGTGTTAGGCACCCCTCTCTCCAAGCTGCTATAACAGCCCACTACGGGAGTAATTCAAGCTCAAATTCCAGCAAAGCACCAATTAACAGGATTGCTCAAAGCTCTTGAAATCTGGCAAAAATGTTCCCAACTTCACCCAGAATTGATTTGAGGTGATGTTATCGGGTCTTAGGCACTGGTTTCCCTAAGACCTCGCCCCTCTACTTTTTTTTCTCAATCTGGAGGAAATTGAAATGCAAGTTTTCCAAGATTTTAGTACTATAAGCAATCTAAAACTAAACTAAAAGCAAAGATACGGTGAAATGAGAGACATACCTCTCGTGTACAACCTTGAAATAAGCTTTCCTACAACTGAAAGGACTTCAAATGAAACTTGAGCAAGGCACGGAACTGGATAAGTGTTTTTGGTGTTAAGTCTGGAAAACAGGGGATGAGGCTTGAGCTTGGCTTCAAGGATTTCAGGATTTCAAGCAGAATGTATGTGTTACAGAAGTTGGAAAACTGCCCTCATCTAGGCCTCTATTTATAGAGAACATGGAAGGAGATGACTCTAAAACTCGTCCATATATAATGTCTGTGATTCAATAGAATTTTTCACTAAAATTGGAAAGGATTTTAAGAGAGAAGGGCCTGCAGTTGACATTAACTTCTTTGTGCTACAAATCTTCTCAATTTTGGAAGGCATCTTATGGACTTTGTACGTCCAACGAAGGATTGGGGCGTGCCAAACGTTGCAGCTCCGTATTTGGGGTTGATAGTGGCAAAAAACATAAATTTGATGAAATTTTAAATAACGTTTTGTCCTTTCTTGGTTTTAAGTGAGGGCCTGTTTGGTATATATTTTGAGCTCTTTAAGCCTATTAGGCTAAAATTCATTGGTTTAGGTGTTCTAATGGGGTTAAATAAGGAACTAACGTCAATCCCCACCCACTTAAGATCCTAGGTTGGACAGCTGATGTGGCATTTCAATCTGGTGCATCGAAATTGTATCTCTTTAGTTTAACGGTTAAGTAGATGAATCTGGTCATGAAATTTGGCATGCTAGGGTTTTTTGAGTCTCTAAACACAGTGGTGAGATATGATTGGACAAATGGGATAGGGATGACTAAAATATATGGTTGACAAGTTCAAATCAATAAGATTTACCGAAATAGAATCTTTGTTTGATGAAAGATCAAAAGAAGGAATTTTGGGATGAAATTTGGTGAATAGGCATCTTTGAACATCCTGAATCTAATGAAAGTAATGAATCTTTGATCATAGGTTTAGATTGACTGATTTAATTCAGATCTTGGTATTATGGTTTTTCAATCAACGAGAGGGCCCGAAATAAAACCTTGCTTTTTCAACGGTCAAATGAAGGTGTTTGGTCGTGAAATTTGATGTGTTAGGGGTTTTTTGGGTCTTTGAACATAATGGTGACATCTGATTGGACAAATGGGGTCGAAATGATGGAGATTCGTGACACATTAGCTTTTAATCAATAAGATTTGTCAAAACAAAATACAAGGTTGATGTCAGGTCAAAAAAGGGAATTTTGAGATAAAATTTGGTGAGTAGATATGGATTAGGCTTATAAGGCTGTTAGAAGGATCTAATTGTGTTAAGTATGTGCAAATCACGGATTTTAGGCTTGAGAAGTTTCATAGTGTTATGCATTGAAACAGTCTCTGCTAGATGGTTGGCTAAACCCAAGAATTTAGGGTTGAAATTTTGTGATTAATTGTTTGAGGATTTTGTTTCACGTAATGGAGTTTGGTTGGGAATTAAGTGGCATAATCAAAACCATCGAAAGGGAATCATGTAGATTTAATGGACTTTTGGGCATTTGGGAAAAAATTTAGTTTCTTAAGGTTTTGGCATGTTTTAATGTGATTGGTGTGGCGCGGTCAGGCACCCCGAATGTTGGAGATTGATCAAAGTAGGGGCCGAGCAAAAATTGGATGGTAATATGGGGTATTATAGTTTAACAACACACTTTATAGATGATGGGTGGGGGTTGAAAAAGAAAATTATTGCATTTGTGGTGGTTGAGTGTCCCCATAATGAAAACACTTAGTATGAAATCATTATGGAGATGTTAACTTGGAACATTGATAAAAAAATATGTTCTATAACATTTGACAATGCCTCTCACAATGATGTTATGGTTAAGGAGCTCAGGAGTTGGCTTTGTGTTAAGGGTTTGCTCCTATTGCATGGTGACCTATTTCATGTGAAATGTGTTGCTCACATCTTAAACCTTATTGTGCAAGATGGATTGAGAGAAGTATCACCATTGTTACATAAGATTCGAGAAATTGTTAAATATATAAGGCTAACACCCTATAAGAAGCAAAAATTTGACAATGCAAGAAACCAAGCAAAAATACAACATAAGATAGGGGTGGTTGTTGATTGTCTAACATGATTGAACTCCACAAATGACATGTTGAACACGGCTTTAGAGTTAAAGGAAGCATTTCGTCGACTAACTGAGCTTGACCGTGACTATAAGAATCTATCATTTGATGAGAACAATAGTATGAGATTGTTTACAAGTTTTTTACATATGCATAAAAAATTTCTCAAGTACTATTTCTCCAACATCAAATATATTTTTTCCCTATATTTGTACAATCAAGCTTTTGTTGCTTCAATGGCTAGATAGTGAATATGAATATGTTCGTTTAATGGCAAATAAAATGAAGCAAAAATTTGATAAATATTGGGATGAATGTTCTTTGGTGTTTGCAATTGTCATCCTTGATCCACTACAAGAAAAAAGGGTTATAGTGACAGATCAAATCCGTCACTATAGATCTATAATGACGAACAAATGACAAAATATCATCTGTCATTACAAGTGGCATCACTATAGTTTATAGCGACAGATTTCAATTTCAATCACTAACATTAGGACTATAGTGACGGTTCCATTCGTTACTATAAAGTCTAACTATAGTAACAAACAACATATAACCATCACTATAAATCTTAACATATAATGACGGATTTCAAAATTCGTTACTAATTTTAGGCCTATAGTGACGATTACATTTGTCACTATAAAATCATGTTATAGTAACAAACAATACATGACCGTCACTATAAATAACTATAGTGCCAGAGAGATCCGTCACTATATTGCTTTTTTTCTTTTCACATCACATCAAATTTACAAATAAATTTCTATAAAAATTTAATATATTAATTAAAAACTAAAAATACATAAAAAAAATATAATCTTCATACATAAAAGTGTAAAAAATGTATCACAAATGACAATCTATCTTGTTACATATAATAAACCAAAATAAAAATGAAAAATATTGCTCTCAAATCTCTTCATCATTTTATGTTGTTATTCTTTACATATGCATTTAACATGGAAAAAAAAATAAAACAAAAATTAGATTTTGGAATCAATACATAAAAAAAAAAGAGAAGGCACTCACAAAAGAAGAAAGGGAAAAGTATATTTAAATAAAATAGACAAGAAACATTGCACACATAAACAACATGGCATTACCTTCTAGGAGACCTAAGATAAATGAAAATAAAAAATAACTGAATTGTGGCAATGGAATAGATATCACCATACATGGAGAACTAGAGAAGCTTGAGTGTTGTTTATATTTATAGCTAAAGATAATTGTGTATATTTGGGCAAAACCAACATATAAGATTAGGTAGCTACTATAAGCCACTAAGGCTTTATGATGTTTTTAAACAGCCAATCAATGTCCAGAATTTTCTCCCCCTCTCTCTCTAAGCCCTTAATTTCTATAGTAAATTCCATTAGTACTCTTTGAATTGGAGGAGAGTTTCAAGAAGGGAGCTCTTGCCATCAGAACTAACCATAGAGGAAAATAGTCCCTATTTGAGAGCTTGTAGCTTAAATGCCACAGCAAAACCATTGCATTCAATTACAATATAAAAACGAACGTAAAGTTTCATGACAAAATTAAATTGATAGATACACACACAAAGAGAGAGAGAGATTAAACCATATGTTTTGATTGTTTACCAAAAAATAAACAAATATATTCAAATTAGAGAAGAGAGAAATGTTTGGTTTTTTAGATTTTGACTGTCAAAGTATCGAACACAAATCCTTATTGTCATCTCTATCACCAACTTAGAACATTGATCATGAGAAGAAATAATACTCCAACTTACATATTAACATAGAAGAGAATCTGTCCACCTACTTCAGGCTAGTGTTTTAAAATTCAAGCCAAATACAAATGGTTTCAGAAAGTACACAAATTGAAACAAAAAATAATAATAAGATAAACCACCATGTGAAGATAAACATTGTATAAGAACCCAAGCCATATAAATCACTATGCAAAGACAAATAGGTAGGGTGCAACTACAACCTGGAAACAAAAGAAGTTCAAAAAATACACAGACTTAAAAGTTAAGAAACACGTATGTGCATGCATCCGAAGCAAAAATGCATCTATCATTCAATAAAATATTCTAAAAATTACACACAACTACAGCCATAAATGCAGCTCATAGCTGCTCTTCCTAAACATGTATTTTCAAATTCCCCATTTACAACCACAAAGGAATTGGAAAGGGTCCACAGTAAGTAGGGTCTCAATGTTAGGGTTTGGGAAATCATGGATGAATATTTCAAATTACCATTTACTAGTCAAAGAAAAAACCATAAGAAAAAAATATATTACCAACAAGAAGAAGAGATGATCACAAAATAGAGTTGAACAAATTCAACCAAATAAGCTAGTCATAAACAATCCATTAAGCAAACTTGCACACCCCTGCCTAGACAAGAAGAATTATAGAATACCACGAAGAAGACAAAAAATATAATATAGAGGAGAATCACCTATAAGCAACATCAATAATTTTACCTAATCCTTGCGTCCCAATAGAATTTGTTCTTGCGAAATGCCAACCATGCATGCACCTTAGAAACTACAAGAGAGGCAAGGAAAAATGTGGCGTCCTGTACATAGGTTCACCAAAACCAAAAATGCATGAAGTGTCATGTCAAAGGTCAGAAAAAAGAAAAAGTAAGAGACTAGTTGATAATGGCATCTTCTTAATTAATTTCTGTTAGATTAGATAGGAAAAGGAAATTTCCATGAAGTTCCTGCTAGTAAGATAAATTCCAACCAAACTATTTAGAAGAAAAACTATTAGATAAAATCCAAAATGGAGAGGACATGATTGTCTTAGCATTAAAATGGCATGGATGAGGTGGAGAATGAGATGTTCACATATGAGGTGATAAATTGAATCCAATAAGCTAATACGTAGGGGATATTGTCTTCTTTAGTAAGCCAAGCAATTCAAAGCATTTTCATGGAAAAAAAACTATGAATGTGTTACTGCCATTCATTTTCAAAATTGTCGAAGTTCAATTCATCTAGTATTAACTACTAAGGGCGAAAGACAAGAAACAAACACCAGTTATATCTAAACGACTAACAAAATTTGAACCACAACAAAACATAGATATTTGCCTCACTAATATCCCTACTTCAAGATAGCATAATAAATGACTCAAACCCTAAATCCGCTCTTGTTCCTTCTCCCTCTAGCCCTCTCAAACCCCCTTCCCTTGGACCACACATATGGTTTAGTGTGGTTGTGTGGCACACTAGGAGCCTTACCAAAGTGCTTAATTGTTCATGAGCATTCTTAGGACCCCTGAGGATAACCAGCTCTGCCCAAGAGGAGCACTTATAGCCAGCTGGTCAAACATCAAGCATTATCCTCCTGCCTTCAAAATCCTTGCTCTTGTTATCCCTGTAAACCTCAAAGTTGTCACCTTCAAAGCCGGTATGTAACCAAAGCATTTAAATATGCATAACTTCTAAAATATCCCCTTGTTAAGCTACACTACCATATGAAGACTATGTATCTAGATATAAGTGCAAAGCATGTAATTGAACACCATAAGAAAAACTTCACAATCAAGAGCCTGACACATTGAACAATCATTATCTGACACGTGAAATTTTCTGGAGAGAAACTTACGACATGCCCAGAATGCGAGAATAAAAATAGAGGCTACCTTTAGGATCTTTAATTCGAAACATCTGCAGACAAAAATTGGATTGTTAGTTCCTAATGTAGATATGGTTCTTATAATGTAATCAACAAAAAAAATTAGCCACCCAAAAACCACTTTTGGAAGGGAATAATGAAGTTCATAGCTTTAGACATACAATTTTTTTGCATGAAGTATACTCTAGTGGCTTCATCAGGGTTGTTTGAAGGAGACTCCTTCAGCTTTGATGCCATTGAAATGGTCGAAATGGATTCAAATCCTGCAAGATCCACTTTAAGAAAAATGGAGATAAGAGGAATGGTGATTTAAACTAAAAAATATTGGCTATTCTTGAGAAGAATCAACAACAATAAAGGAGGAAAACAACTCCTAGAAATTCGATGGGAAGAGTATGGCCACCAGAGCAACAATTTCAGAGCAAAAATCCATTTGACCACATCTCTTACAATAGCAAAAATGTCGACCAACAAAAAAGAAACCCTAAAAAAGCACAAAAACCTCCAACAAAATCTGGAGAAGAACCAAGAACCACTATCAAAATTTAAAGAAAAACCACCGCAAAAGAATTGAAGAACACAAAGTCAAAAAAAAAAATGAAAAACAAAATGAAAAACAAAATGAAGAAAAAATTCATATGAAACCACCAGAGAAAAAATTGGAGAAACACCACCAAACACCAGACAAGAAATGGAGAATGATAAATCTGATAGCAAAAGAACTGCCAAATGAACAAGAAATGGAGAATGAGCGACATATTTGGGACTTGCGAGAGGGAAAAAGGCGCGCGGGCAGCGCGGGGCTTGTGATATTTGGAAATAGAACTATTTACCGGTCGGGTCTGGCCTTGCCTCTTTATAAATTAGAAATACAAAATAAATCACCAAGCCCGAGTTTGAGTCCGGCCCGACCATCGGGCCTAGATCTTGAAACCGAGCTTGACCCTTTATAATAAAGCCTAAAGTGCATGTTCATGTCCGAAGCCCGATTTTGACAGGTATATTATAACATATTAATTATATATTACTGAAAATATATTATATAAATATATAATATACTATATACTATAATATATAATACATTTTTGTTATTAATTTTATTATTATATAATATATTATATATTATTAATATATAATATAACATATATATTATATCTATAATATTATCAAGCCGAGTTTATTTAAGAATGCTCAAGCCCAACCCAAAAAATAATCAGACCCGATGTGTAGAGTCCAAGCTCGAGCTTGTGGGCTTCAAGCTTTGTCCAAACCCAATTTAGAAAAGGTTAGGCAAGGCCAACCCATCAAACTACTTGGCCTATGAATAGGCTTATCTAGGAAGAGGGTAGGAAAAGGTGCATGGGTAAGGCTATCAGTGGGTCAAGTCTACTTGATGGACTCAAACCGATTATAGTGGTTCTGGTTTCATAATTTTGTCCTGATTAATAATTTGGTTAATTTCAATCCTTTTCTATCCCGAACTGATTTAGACCCATAATTTCAATCCTTTTCCAAGATTCAGGTCCTTGCGAGGAAACCATCTTTGTTAGGGATTAGGGATGGAGGACAACTTTTATCCCCAACGGGGATCAGAGTCAGGGGTAGGGGTTTATTTCAAAATTAGGGTCAAGGACAGGGAATATGATCCCTGCCCCAAACCTACCCCATTGCCATTCCTATGATAAGGGGTGCAAGCTAGGTTGGGGTAGTAGGGGTGGAAACAAATCGATCTTTTCATGAGCTATTGAAACTCAAATTGTGAAAAGTTTGATTGATAGTCTAAAATGAACTTCGAGTCAACTCAAGCCCAATATATAGGCATGTTTGCTAGTCGAGTGGAGCTTGAGCCTAATAAAACTCCCTCATGAGGTTCACGAGCCTAATCGAGCTTATATGTATATACATATACATACATACATACATACATACATACATACATACATACATATATTAATAAATAATTTTTATTATTTATAATAATATTTTTATTTGTGTGTATTATAATAAATATTATATATAATATTGTTATTATATATATAAATATGACAAAAAATGATTTTTATAATTCTTAAATATTTATATATAAAATAAAAATAACTTTTATATGTATGTTTTTTATTTTTTATAGGAAAGTTTGGCTCACATTTGAGCTCGAGCCAAGCTAAGCTTAAATATATGAGCTTGCAAGCTGAGCCAAATTTGAGCTCAAATCTCTACCTCGAAGCAAGCTCAAGCTTAATGGTTTTTCTAGCGAGCCATGATCGAATAGCTAGATATTCAACTTAGCTCAACTCAAATCCACCCTTATTGAGTAGCCTTAGATTAGGATGGGTTAAGGTCAACCTAACCCGAACGAAGTTATGGAACCCTCAACCATAAATCCAATGCAACCTAGCTAAAAGCTTGGAGTTAGGGTTGGGTTCAAACTTTTTAACAAATATATATATATATATATATATATATATATATATATATATACACTATAGTTATAAATAATTAACATTTTATATTTTGTTTTCATATAATTTTTTACTTCATTGGCTAGCTAGTTCGAATGTCAATACCTAGACATATTATTAAGCATAATGTATGGACCAATCAAGTCTCTACAACATTAAAAGTTATTAATGGTCTATAGAAACTTGACCTAAGAGTATCCCTACATAGAACTTAAATGGAATTTTACTAATTTTTTTTTTAAATATTTAAAATTTTAACCTATTGCCTATTGTTCAGATATATCAATTTAGCAATTCAAATGTCCTATTCATTAAATTATTTTAAACAAAATAACATTTAAACAATGATTATGAGAAAATGACACTACAAAAAATGTCCCAAAATGAAGATGTAATTTTAAATTGTGAAAACATTTAATTATCTGTTATTAAATATAAAGATTTTGTAACAAATACCTAATTACCCATCACTATAAATAAAGATTATGTGACCGACATTAAATTATTCATCACTATAAATCAACTTTTATAATTTTGTGACAACTATTTAACTGTTTGTCACTATAGTTCGCCATTTATTGACGACGATTCAATTGTTCGTCACTATAACTCAACATTTAGTGACAATGATTAAGTCATTCGTCACTATAAGTTAATCAATTGTGACGGATGACAATTATTCGTCACTATATATGAAAATCTTGTGCTTTAGTGACAAACATTCAATTGTTTGTCACTATAATTTTCCATTTAGTGACGATGATTTAATTGTCTATTACTATAATTCAATATTTAGTGATGGTGATTAAGTTGTCTATTGATGAAGGGAAATTTGGCCCGACCTCGCAATCACCCGACACGTGGCAAAAGCAAGCAACTCGGGGCAGCAGAGCGCCCAAAATGAGCACCGAAAGTAACGAAGTCCAAGCTCACTACTGAGCCCGAACTCCACCAGATCGGATTCTCTACTAGGAGCCCGAGCTCCCTACCAAGAACCCGAGCTCCCCACTGGGAGTCCGAGCTCCCTACTGGGAGTCTGAGCTCCCTATTAAGAACCCGAGCTCCCTACTGAGAACCCGAGCTCCCTACAAGGAGCCCGAACTATCTCGGGTCCTAAGCCTCACAAAGCCGTCACCCGAGCACCCTGCAAGCAGCTCGGAACACTCCCCAAACTGAACTCAAGACATCTCGCTCGCCACTCCAGCACTTCGCTTCCGAAACACCAGGCTGACCAAACGTACCTGACACCAAGGACGTCCGTATCCAAGGGCAACGCACCTGACTGATTTGGGATCTGACGCCTGACAGCCGCACTTCAAACGGCCTCCTGCTACCGCCACCTGCCAYCGTCGTTACCAGCCGCAGAGACGGTTCCAACAAAAGGAGCAGTGGCGGTTCTGTCCGGCTAGAGGAAATGACATCCGAACTGGCAGGAGCTCAGAGATAATCATGCCCGATCTGACAGAAGCCTGGAAGTGAGTGCGTGAGGTGGTTAAAAAAGGCTCCTACCCCCCAAGAACAAGGTATGCGAACTTTTGCGCTATCTGGCTTATCTTGCCTTTGAAAGACTCTAACTTGAGCTTCGGAGCCCTTACGTCGGGTTCTCCCCGGAGCTTCTTC